TGAAGCTAAGTAAGTGGCCACACCCCTGTCTTCGACATGATGAGTTCAGAGCACTTTTGCTGTGTTGTTGGCCTTAATATGCCGGGACGTCTGGTTGAGCAACGCTGAAGGGCAAACATGAATTGCATTGTCAGGACTCGGTGTTTCAAGCTGTGCTTATGATAAAGAGTATGCCATCGTAAGCACTCACCACCGCCGACGTTTTGCACTTAGTTGGCGACGTTTTGTCCTTGGAATTTTTTCTTATTGGATTCTTTCTAGCTAGGATTCTCTCCACTTTCCCGTTGACAATTTGTTCCGGACTTTTTCAATTCGAATTCATTCCTGTCGATTTTTATCCCTCTTAAATCCTTTCCTGCGACTTTTATTTCCGGATCTAAGTTTGGTCACAGTCGACTTGCATCCCTGTCGACTTTTTGTCGGTCGACTATTTTTTCTCGACATTTTTCATTTGGTTTTATTTTCGGAAACCGGCCTGCAGGCTTAGGGATACAACCATTGGCGGTTAGCCTGAACAACTTGATCTCGCTGGTAGTAATATAAATGCATGTTTCATGAGAAGGGGTGAATGTACGCATTTTGCCCGCACCGACAGTCACTTCACTTCTCCTCGGCACAGGCAGTACGGTTGCAGCCCGACACCAAAAGGGCAGGCAAGCCGATGGTTTTGAAACGGCGGAGGTTTTGTGCGGAGGTTTTGTCTTTGTGGGACCGGTCTTGACTAGTAGAACAACGCACTGTTCACGGCTGGATATTGTTGAAAAGATAATGTGGCACCTAAAGCTTTCAGAAAGGGCATTTTAAGATGACCAAATGCGAATAAGGTACCGATTCTAATAAAAACTTTAATAGGAGCTGAGCTGCCAAATCTGCCCTAGCGTCGTACTCGGCACCCCTAACACTGTTTCGCTCGGCCCGGGACGTTCGCGGGGCTCCATAAGCATCGGCACGACCGCCTTCGAGCGCGTCACTTCGAGACGGCTGCGGCGAGAGCGCCACGCTCACCTGAGGCCAGCTGACTGGCGCTGCCTGACGGCGCGGCGGCCATCTTGGTTCGCGCGTCCCGGTGGCTGGGGCGTGCAGTGCCGCGGCCGTGGCGACCTCCGGAGGGCTGCGGCTCACCCGGCAGCTCGTTAGTCGGGGACGCCGCGGCCGCTGGCCGACCACCTTATCGCTTCAACAGCAAACAGCCGGGGGACATCGCTGGCTTTGATCTGGCAGCTCCGGGGCGCGAGAGGTCAGCCTCGTCGGCCGTGGTTGACGAATGGCGCCGTGGACGCGCTGGCGCCTGGTCCGTACTGCAGCGTATCACCACCCCACGTGTAGCATCAGCCGCCCCGGTCGGAGGACGGGCCCGCCCCGGTCGAAGGCCCGCCCTGCTCATAGGACGGGCCTGATAAGACTAGAGTCTATGGGTTTAAACGGGGCACGGCCAATTCCCATCTGGGCGGCTCGGTTGCTTGCATAAGCATACCTAGTTTGGAAACACGATGAGCTCTCTCGCCGGCTGCGGACTGTGCGCACACTTATAGGGAAGGAACTTTGAAGTTGTTTTAAATGAGATCACGTGATTCCTCGTGAACAGAGGGTTTGGACTTCGGAGCGTGCGTCCGCGGTGGTTGTCATTTCATGGTAATTCCCTTGTAAGATACTTGTTATAATTTCTTAGCTACATCATCACATGTCGTTACGAAGGCAATCAGTAACGAAGCTGATGCTATTTTCAACAACTAGGAGTACCATTTCCCACAGACCAAAACCGAAATCATCGCTCCGATGTCTGTTTCGACAGTAGTGAAACACCGCCATGACCGCCAAAAAGGCAATGTTTAGTCCAAGCTTGCATCTGACATGGGTCCTCTAAGGCACGTTAGTCGTCGCATAACGTAACACATAACATAATATATATATATATATATATATATATATATGTATGTATAAAATAACATAACATAATATATAATATAATATAATATAATAATAATGCTTTTGCTGGCAGCTTTTAAAAGTAGGGTTGTTGGCATGCATGTGACTCCACTCGCGTGCCGGAGATGTAGAATTTACTGATTGCATGTGGTATTTGAAGCATGGCTTAAATCGGAATAAAATGTTTGTTTTCGTCATGCATCACCATCAGCGCATGTGGGGGCATTTTGCACGGCTGCTGGCGGCAAAATGAATGAGGAAGCCGGCGAGGCGAGGGCAGTTGTGATAGGATACAGACAAAAGCTAGAAGCGCCAGCAGAAGAAGACCTGACTTGGCTAGCATAAGATATTCGCCAAAAAAGGGAATGTAAGATTGCGTGTGCGTCACTGATGAAGAGCCTTTTCCACTCCCGTTGTTTAAGGAATAAATCCCACAAATATTCACGATTTAAAGGACCCCTTCCAATACCCTTGGGGCGTTTGAAATTATTATAATACATAATGTTCTTGGTCACTGTTGCGTAACGGGCTTCTGCTTTAATTATTTTCTTGGCAATTTGCCAACAAAAGCCATTTGATATATATCAAGCTACTTTCTGACCTTAAGTTTACTAATGAAATCGTAAGGCAGACGAGGTTAAATAGATGTTTCATGGGATTTGTGAGAAAAAAATATTTATGTCATGAAATGTGCGTCTAATTTATGCAACCAAAATAAAATAATCATTATAATGCGCATAAATGTGTGATATTCGGGCGGAAGTAAGTCAAGTTACCATCGACGTAAGTTGTTAAGTACATTCGTGAGAAACATTTATTTATACAGAAAGGACATATTTTTTATTATTGTATTTCTCGGAGAAAAACCAGGAGAATGGAGATATAGATGCAGTGATATTTCGGCGACATGCATTTATTGAAACGAAGAGCGGAAGTCATCGGGTCATCACACATCCATTGCGTAGCTAAATCAGAGTGAGGATGGGCTTGGCATTTCTCGCTAGCTATGTTTGGTGGCCTCGATCTGCCAGAGATTGGCAATGACACAAATGGACATGATTATCCTCATCTCTCTGCTCCGATGTTAACGTAAGAGATGATGCATTGGACTTATCATCTTTTGGTTGTGATGATGTCACTGTATTATTATGATTCTCACAAAACGTGCCGTATTGAGCTTGGACTTGCCGTAGGTTGTGACCCGGACCCGCACGCTGTTCATGGATGGATGAATGGCAACATCAATTAGGCGCTGAATTTGGAAACAAAATGAGTACAGCTGATTAGACTTGCAACTCAGATTTTTAAGTCCGCTTATACGACGCTATGCCGTAAATCGTGTGAAAGGTGGGCGAACGATGCATCAGCCAATACAAATGAAACGCCAATGACATCAGGGATGTCATCGGCACTTATACACTGTCCATTCCAGTTAAGAAACTGCCGCAGCGCATGGCGATGCTGGCAAATGCGCGAAAATCTCTCGACCCCGTGCTCTTAATTTCAAAGAAGCACAACTCCCAACGACCTAACCTTGAAGCTAGTTGAGGTGAAAGGGCCTGAATCGAGCCGTCTTAGAGTCGGTTCGAGAGAGCTCACAAAATGTGCGTTACGTTTCATGATCGGGATTTCGGAAAATTTGGCAGATATGTGCGCATTAAGGAGCTGTTGTTTTCTCCCTCCCTTTGGCCTCCAGTCTGCAACTGGGCAAGATTCCCAGATGTGCGTTGACCACGGCATGAAATCGTGAAACATACGTCGTACGGCCTGCGTTTTAGTCATGATTATGGGCACCCTTGCTGTCTGTCCTTCTTCGTTGATGTACTAAGCAGGTCATGGCATGCCAGACTAGCACCGAGAGGTCCATATTAATGTGAGGTCGATGTAGTTTTCACAAATGTGCCACCACCTCTCAGTTTACCAATACCCTGGACAACGACGAGCCCTCACTGTGGCAGCTCTTTGCCACTTTATCACAGAATGCGGTTGTCGGCCACGCTCAATTTTTCTCAATTTTTTTACCGTTTCAATTTCCCCCTTATCATCCCCCTGCACCCTGGCCCCTTGACTTCAGTTAGCACTGAATTCGAGATGATATTGGTGAACGGCGTATACCACGTATGGTTAGCAAAGGTCCTTTCGTCCTACATGCTTTTGGTTTCATCTTCCGATTGTTTTAAATTCTGCCGTCCGTTCACAATGCCCTAGTTCATTGCTAAACTTCCAAAGCCACCAACCCGGCAAAGCACAGCTGTTTTTAAACGTTTTAGAATCTTAGTCCCAGTTGCGTTTGACCTCCTCTCATTTCTGGAGGAGAGAAAGTTGGGTGAAAGCCATCTTTCCTCTTATTCTCATGAATGAACATTGAACATACATTGAACTTGGTCAATTGCGAGCAAATCATATTTGTGTTGTGCGTATTCACGCGCTGCCACGATTTAACAAAATGTAAAAAATACGACATACATGAGGCGAATTTTTAAAGGACGCAATCGTTTGCTGATAATTTCGTGTGATATCCTTGTTTGATCTTACCTTGGGTGTCATTGACGACCACGAAGTCGACCATCGGCGACGACCATCGCCGCGTGCGGACAACTCACTTTCTGCACATCGAAATTCAGAGCAATCGATCTGAACTTAGCAAAACGAAATAATTGTTAGGATTTGTGTAGTAGTATTGGTGGAAACATGCTGTAGGGAAAACTGCAGCGTTACAATAGTCCCTAATACAGTGCACTGGAAATGTGTTCCAGATGGCGTTAAAAAAGCTCTAGAATACGCCACAATTTTGTAAGATTCCTTTCTTGGACAACAGAAACAGAAATTGAGTGTGCTTGAGCGAAAAGTTCTTGCCTGTGATGGACACCAGTGGAGATACTCACCACGCGTCGGTGTGGGCCGCCTTGCCGTGCGGGGGTGCTGGGCTGCCTGGTGGCTGCCAGGGGGCGCCTCGCCGGACCCTCCCACGGCGTCCCGAGCGCCGGGTGCTGGGCGACTGGGCACAACGGTGTCAATAATGGAGTAGGCCCGTGAGAGTGGCCTCGGCCGAGGGGTGGGTGGGACGGCACGGATCAATCGACGGCAGGGTCACTGGTTAACCGCTCACGCAGGTCACTGCGAGGGTGCGCACACGGTCACTGGATCACCTAGGAGACCGATTGCTGACCGGACAAAGGGTCATGCGGGACACAGATCGCTGGCGGGACAGGAGATGGTCCCTGAGCCGCGCAGGGAGCGGGGCACAGTGGTACAGCACATCAGGGTACTGGATTATTCTGTAAGTGATCTCCCTGCACCGAGCAGCAAGAACCAATGCACAATTGGACCGATGGTGAAACACTGAAGTCTTGCTGGAATGGGGCTGATTGAAATCGGTGTGGGTCAGTGCTGAGCTCCCGGCCATAGCTACGCTAAACTCGGCCAGATCCGCCCGTGCGTGCAGCTGCTATTTTCAGAGTGTGGCTATTCGCGTCTGTCTAATCAAGTTCGGCGTCGTTGACAGACGGCTCCACCCGAAGTGCACAGATTGACGTTGGTAGCGCATCGCTGTGTTGATTGATGATTGATCCTGATGGTGTGAACTTAACAGTGTACACAGTACTACACATTCCGTCCGCTTATTGTTACCTGTCACCCGAATAATGATCACTCCACGGAGCGATGCGATGAGGGAGAAATCCCTGTGGAAGCCAGTATCTCTATCAGTTCGAGTAATGAAAATAAATATTTCACTTAAGGTACTTCCGGAAAAAGAAAACTATGACCCAGCTGCGCAGACTGGGCGCCTTTGTGCTATTTGCCGTGTAAAAATGTTACTGTAAGTGTCACAATTACTCGAAAGCAAAGGTTTGGTCCGTTGCGTTACACTGCCACGGTGTCACACCCATCCAGTTACCGAGCGGCAGCGGCGGCTGGCGGCCAAGTGGTTGTCCGTTGGTGTTGTGATTTGTGGTAGCGTGGTCACGTGACATTATCCGACCACGTGACACTGTCCGGGTATTAAGCGATGTATCGATTAATAACACCCAAGCCCAGGAACTGGGACGTTTCGGGCATCGAAAGGCCATTACCGTGAACATTTCTTTGTGGGCTACATACCGGTTGTCCCGGATCAAAACCACACACATGTGAAGCATCCCCTTCCCTTTTTCTTCAGAGGACGCAGTTTTTAAGATGTTTTATACAGGGCGGTACATTGTCTGACCCATCAAGCATGGCCTGTAGGGGGTACGTTGTGAAAGGACACCGTAGTAGGAAGATTCCGGATGCGTTGAATGAACGCCGGGCTTACGGATCGCGTAGCTCAGTTGGGAGAGCGTTGTCTCATTATCGCGCGCGGAACGTCGCGGAATCCGGGTCTGACCTTCGGCCAAGAGTTGCGTCATCACCGTGGCAACCAGCGTAAGAGAGCCGACGCTAAATGATCTGAGGTGTTAAATGGGCTGTTAAACCAAAAAATTCCAGCAAGTACAGAGAGCGTTTGTTATATCTGCGTATTTGTAACGAAACATATTTTCCATTTCATGTGATGCGTTCTGCTGGTTTTTTATCTTTCAGAAAAGAACCGGCACCCTGAAGTGTTTAATGGCTGTTGAATGTGGACTACGGTTACCACTGAGATAACACATTTGAACGTATTGGCCCACTGAAGGGTTTCCATGCAGCTTCTATGTTATATCGAAAAATGCTTTACAAAATTTCGCGATCGTCAACGGAACATGCCTGTTCATGTTGTGTATCGACGCTCAAGAAAGCCTTCCCATTCGCCCATGAGGAGCCTCTTCGTGCATGTGTTCCTGGCATGCGTACTAAATAAACAGCTGAACTGAGCCTTCTGTGTTTGAGGCGCCGTACCTTCTGCCAGTGATGCCTTCTAAAATCGTTGGGGGAGGGCTCAACCGAAAAAGTTGACCTAACCAAAACCTGGTTTGTTCCCGCATTTCGGTACTTGTATTTGCTTCCTTGATGCCGAAAGAAAGAACTTTTTTAATATCTCGTAGGTTCGAAATTGGCCTCCTGCGAAGGAATTTATTTTGCCATTTCAAGTCAACACCAGCTGCCTTTTTGTGAAAAGCTTGGAATGGAGTGCAATTCACAGGAAAACATCTTAGGAAATCATGGTAAGAGATCATTCATGACTCCCGTTGTCGGTGATTGTGTTGTGTGACCACCGCGAACACCATTATGCGACAAAATTGCACTTGCCCATGTTGGCGTAGACACGCGCCAAGTTTTATCTAAGCCACCATGCACTTTCAAAAACTGCCAAAAAAATTAGTTGGTTGTTCTTTCTCTCGATCCAGTCAGTATCATTTGACATTAACCCTGCGTTCCGCACGTGGTGACAGGTGACCTAATGCACCTTAACTCCAAGCAACGCCCCTGGCTTCATTGCACTTTATTTCATTACGAACGCAGCACTGCACGATACCTCTGCTCGCGCAGCACGAACTATTCACGGACTTCACGTACACACCGGCCGAACAATCAAGTAACAGAGGTGCCAGCGAAGACTAACGGACCTTCGTCAGTCTCGTGGGCTCCAAGCGACCACCGAGCCAATCACAAGCGCGCTCCGGCCGACAACCGGCCAACAGTCGCCATACGAACGTATATAAGAATACAAATCATCCGGGCACTCGGCGACATCAAGCGCTCACGAGTGTTCTCTCCCGCCATTGTCCTGTCCGCTGCCGACGAAAGCAGGAGCTGCCACTGCCCACCCACCCTTTATGCCGGGTGCCATGAATAAATACTCCCCCGCTCATTAATCGCGGACGTATTTATTTTCCCCGGCAATTTTCAACAGTTGTCGGGCTGGCACCATCGGCGTTTCTCGCGCCTCGTTTTTCAGGCGGGCGACAGCATAATGCGATCTTCACCTGGCGCCGTACTCATAGGTGGCGCTGTGCGGTGGCGGCAGCGGCGGCGGCGCGGCGCTGGCCGCCGCCCCGCTGCGGTACAGGCCGGGCACGCCGGGCGCGCCGCCGCCGTAGCCGGCCGCGCCGCCGCCGGCGTACAGCGGCGCCCGGCCGCCGGGCCGCGAGTACGGCGGCGAGCGCGCCTTGTACGGGTATGTCGTGAAGAGGGGCCCGTAGTAGGCAGCGCTCGGGTACGGCTGGGTGCCGGGCGCCGGCGGGACGTACTGCTGCGCGGCCGCCGGGAACATGCGCGACATGGCTGACACGGCGGCCGCCTCGCTCCGCTCCGGCTCTGGCGGCAGGGGCACAGCGGGTTAGCGGGGTCACAGTGGATCGGCTAGGTTATAACGGGTCAGCGGGACCGTAGGGTCACAGCGGTCGGCGAAGACGTAGCGGGGTCACAGTGGGTCCGTGTCGGCGCGCGGACGGCGGGGGCGTGTGTGGTCGTTTGGTCATGAACACGCGCCCGGCTGGTCGGCTTATTTTCTAAAAAATATTTTATCCGAACCTTTTGAATGGATGGATTTCTGGGATCAGAGCTCACGCTAAGCAGTGCTTGTTGTGTGAGCCTTGACTCCTGCCATCCGATCGCCCAATTCCAATTAAACGGCAGAATTTGGTGGCGAAAGGTTAACGTGCCACAATACTAAATTCACAGAGCGGATTGTTATGTATGTTCATTCACTTGAGTGAAAACTTAAGGCTTCTTAGGTCACGACCTTCCGGTGAAATAAGGCCACTTAAGGTCACTCTCAAGATTGGTGCCTAGAGCGCCCCCAGGCCTCATCATGCAACCACCTTGAACCTAGATACCGTTTCTAAGCAAAAGATAATTGGTGTTGATTTCAGTTCGGCGGCCTTTTTTGACCTTTAGGAAGGTCATGACGACCAAAACCTAAAGCATTGTTTTATTTTGGATTTGAATAATCACCAATGATTACGCTTGGGGGTACGTTCCTTAAAATAAAAGATCCATGTGTGGCACTTTACGGGCGGTGACCTACTCTGACCTTAACGAAATAAAAGGAATATGTCTGCTGCCGTCCCGGTTATTAATGAAGTCGAAATGAGCATCAAAAATCACCCCTTTAAGCAAGCGCTTCAATAAAACAGGTTAATTTGACCTTGGTATGGCTTTCACCTCAACCTAACCCTGTGACCGTGCCCAAGGTCAATGTAGTTTTCCGAAATCTTAAATGCGGCTGGCTTATTGTTTAAGAAACTATCTCAAAGATGCATGGCTTTGTCGAGCATTTAGTTGTCGTTTCAGATTGAACGATTTCTAATGAATTGCCTTCGCTGATAGCCATGGCCTGAATTTGACCTGTCATTGGTCAGCGACCTTGTAAGGTACGTCCAATCTTTTCCTCCAAAACATTCGCCATTTATTTGCCTATAGCTATGCAAAATTTTGGGCGGCTTCCCCACAACGTTGGGAAACCATTCTATAAATACCTTCGGGGGTGGTGAGAAATCAAACTAACCCCACGTCCTCCTCCTCCTCCTCCTGAGCGCGTGTTAAAACACGCAATGATATCGCTGACAACCCATTTGAGATAGTGGGGGACGAGTGCGTAGGCTCGTGCGCACGATTAGCCCGGGTACACAGCAACTGGGGCCAATGCAGAGGTTCAGGTAGCGACGCATGTAGAGGCCGTTACAGTTTGGTGAAATCCATTAGGACTATTATAACATGGGTAACGAGCTGAATTGGGTACGAATGATGGGAAAAGTCTGTTAAACGATAAGCATTTCAAGACACGTCGGATAGATAATAAGATGTTTCGTACAGTGTTCTTGGTTGTGCTTCTTTTTCAATCATCAAAGGAGTAAGACCTTGAGCTCCGTTTTGTTGTTGTTTTGTTTTGTTTTTTGTTCCTTTTTGGCACCCTGAATTGTAAGGAATTATTCTTCCAATAACGAAGTTCCTTTTACCAGGAGGGTGGTTAAACAAGATTATCAAGGAAGCATTGACCGCACTGACACACATCGACGTCCAAAGCCGTGCTCATGGCCACGAGTGTGACCAGTGACTGGTAAGCACTCAGGACCATGATCACAGCTTAGAAACGTCGACTTTAGTTCATAAGGCTGTAAAACCTCCTTGATGGCGTTGTTTAACCAGGCATATTGAAGGCCGACCACTGGCAGAATAAGATCTCTTAACTCATGGTAAGCTTAGGGATAAATTTCCTTGATTTCCTTTTCCATACTGCGGCTAAAGGCTTCGTACAGTTTAGCGGCTGGGAGCCAGGTGGGCACGAGCCATTAGAAATGGGCAACCGCATCTTGTCCGGTACTTTGGGGAGGGGGGACTCGTGAATATCACTTCAACCTGAAGTGACGCAAATGTACCCAAATTCCGAACAGACGTGAGGTAGAGGCACTGGCAGCTGCCATCCCGGCATCCCAGTCCCAGCCGCGCGTAATCGCTTCAGCAGACGCCGTTCGACTCCGCGGGGCCGAGGCTCCTCCGTTCGGGTGTCCGGCATCTCGACGGCTCCCACACCCAGCCGGCCGGCCGGCGGAGGGGGGGGGGGGGGGAGCAGGACGAGTGGCGGCCGGCCGCCCGCTCTGCCATCATTTAAGTTTTTGTTTTCATTTGTTGGATGCTCGACTGGCAGGAGACAAACGGCGCTCGTTAGAAGGCTGGCGGGGAGCTGTGTTGGGTTTCGGCCGGCCGCGGAGGGCCGCCGCCGGCGCCCGGCCCGGCGCCAGGCAGCCTCGGAGGGCAGCCGGGCCGGGGCCGGACGGAAACGGCGCGGCGACGCCGATGGCGCAGGTGGTGCGGGCGCTGTCTGGTCCGCGCGAGGGAGGTAATGACTCTCTCTGGGATGGTTTGAGAAATCGACTTAATTGGGTGAGATATTGCTGCGCTGAAAAGAACAAACAAGCAACCGAGAATGTGCATCCCATAATCAGGGCACCAGAATTGTAAAGGACAGGTGGTACTTTTCATCTGCCGTTTCTGCATACGGCTAAACGCTCCCTTACAGACCCGTGCACAATGTTTGAGCTCCGTCTTTCCATTTGCCTTTGAACTCTGTGACAATCCTGTGACATGACAATTCTGTACCGACTGCTTTCCTTATTCACAAGCCTCTGCATCTTTCGAGGGGCTGCCTCGTCAGCGCGGCGAACCTATAATAAATGGTCGGACTTGTTTGAATGGGAAGGCCGTCTCGAAATTGCGATCCAAACAATCTCCGCTGGGATAATTTAACCTGTCAGCACTCAGCGTAAACAAACTTGGGTGGAACAAAAATTGGATTAACAGAATGGTGTGTTTATTGTCTCACACCCAGACTACTCGTGTTAAGTGCCAAGTTCCGTGAGACTTCACTAGACAAAGGTTACAAGGAGGGCAGCATTGTCTGCCTGCTTATGACCGGTGTGACTAAGAGCGATATGCAGTTGCAGGCATTGCATGGTTGTTACTATCATTGATGAATGTCCCGAACGCAGTCAGAATTTTACGGTAGCTTCAAGTAACAGCCGCGTGCGCGGATCCCAAAGGTAGACAGATCTCAAATATCAATCAAGAGTTGATAAGATACAAAGTCAACCTAGGATCCTAAAAGATCCTTCACAAGACTGGCAATGGATCCTGGATCCCAATAGTTTTGATGACAAACTTTCAAGCATGAGGCTGGAACTCAAGATATTTTGGGGCAAATTGCTTAAAGGAGACCAGGTCTCAGCAGGAGATATTCTATAAAGTTAAAAACAAAGTTCGGTTTCATGAAAATTTTGAATAATAGGAATCCATGCACGTACCAATCAAGCAGAAATCTGCTCTTTTAGCAAAGCCTATAAAGCCTCAGCAGTGGAGGGTAGTCTTTGACAGCAAAGCTTGCAGGTAGTTTTTGGAAATATGTTTGTCCGCGTTATTTCGTACCAAAAAGGTACACTGATATCGGGGCAAGAGAGTAAGAGAGCTGTCACTGCACATCTCTCGTAATATTTATCTTACGTTTTGGAGATGAGATAAGTCAACAGTACTCTACTTTGGATGGAAAATTTATCCCTAAAGCTCTTCCGAAATGGGTCCTTGAAGCTTCTGCAAGCAATTTTAAGTTGAATGCTGGATTATAGTGTTTCGACAACCTTTGCTAAGTATTTTGCATCCCAAAGGATCTGTGTCATGCAGGACACCTCTGTTAGAAGTACCCTTAGTCCGGGGACGGATACACACCTGAAGTGTTATACATCAAGTGAGGTGGTCGGTTCAGTTTTTCAGAAGGCGGACCAGATGGGCATCGTCCTATGCTTGCGAAGGGAGTGTCCCTCAGCCAGTCGAGTAGAAAGTGCAGGTATGTTACGCGTAACCTGGATCCGAAAATGCTAGATAATGTGCTCATGCCCTTAGGTTACTGAAACCAGAAGCGATTATTACCCCTATGATGTGGTGGTACGTGTGAATTATTGGCCAATAATTAAGAAATGATTTGCAATATGGTGTGTCTTGTTTTTTTTTCTGATCTTCATGCAAGGTCGCCTCACCAACAGGCAACAAGCGGTGCGGGTATCATAACACGCACCGATTTGCAGCGACTTCTTGCACATTTTTGCGGCGGAAATTAACAAACAACTTAGATTTAAGATGTTGAGATGAATCATTTTTTTCACATTTAAGAAAGCCCCTGTGTGAAAGCGGATTGGCGCGGATTTATTTGACAATTTTTTTCTGGTAATTCAGACTGCTTCTGATTGGGTTCAGAAGTCTGGGAAAAGTGAGTTGGCGGGTGGACTGGATCTGGGCTTGCCGGACTCGACTGGGCCCGATTCTGAAAACTCAATCCATGAAGTGCTCTATTTTCCACCACTGAAAAGCGTACAGCTACGGTTTTGCGATGGCCTGGTGCTTAGGCTCAAGCTATGCTGTCACTTTTCACAGCCTGGGAGCTCTTAAAAAAGCCGTACGAGATCACATAGAATGGGGCTAGCCTAAAACCTAAATCAAAACGCGTTGGCTGCACTGATGATCTAATCAACCCATCGGTTGTGGTTCGGAGTTGGCGCAGTCTGCAACCGTCCGAAGCGATACGAATGGTTAGCTCCAGCAAAGTGTTTAACCGTTAAGTTTTGCCGCTGGTTGGACTGTTCCGCCTGTTTTGGCTCTGGTCGGCCGGGCCGGCCGACGGTGTCAGGGACCGTGAGAGTTGACTCCTTCGCTTCAGCAGCGGTGGCATCCACCGCTGTCGCCGGCATCTCGGCGGCCAGCTATTTTTCTCGAGAACTATCTGGCTCTACGGGAAAGGAAAACAGCGAGGGCATCGGAAGCGGCCGGCGGAAACTCGAGCCGCGCCCCGTAAACACCGTTTTCCCCGCGGCGCTGTCATCGGACCAGCTGGCGGCGGCGGCGGCGCGCCATTTATCACGCGCGCCGGCGGGTCGGGTCAGGAGCGCGCGCGGCAGCCGGCGGCGCCAGTCCGTCTGCCGACACCGGACACCGCCGCCGGCCGCTGACCGGTCAGAGGTCGGCCGGGGCGCGGCGCGCCGCCCGCCCGTAATAAATGGCGGCTGAGGCCCGGCCGCCAGCGCGCCGGCGACTCATTACGCGCGGCCGCCGGGTAAACAGAGCGCGCCACTGCTTACACGGCGCCGTATCAACAGGAGCTCGCTCACCTTTCTCGGGCTTGGTCTGCAGCAGCATGTGCGGCGCGGCGGACATGGCGGGCGGCCGCGGCGCGCCGGCCGGCGTCAGCTGGCGGCCCTGGCCCGGCATGGCGCCCATCATGTCCGGCATGCCACTGTCAACCGCGGCCGGCCGGTCAAGACGGGTCAGCTGCGGGGAGGCCGGCAGGGCGAGCGGCGGCGGGGCACCGGGCAGGGGCACTCGACCCGTGACCGCCGGCGAGGCCCGAGTCAACAGAGGACGGATACCCGCCCGAAGGGGAGGGGGAGGCGCAACGGTGCGGTGGGGTGAATGGATACGCTTGAGGCATACTGAGAATAGAGAAGTAACACACCACAGTGGAGCGCACCTGAGATGACGTTGCATATAATGCAAATGCACTGCAACGTCTAAAGAGGATGCAAGGCTGCCATACTCTTTTGCAGCAGTGTAGCAGAATGTGAAAGTTTTTTATTGTCAGAGAAACGTTAATCCTGATTTCATGCCGAGGGCGGGAGAAGTGGATGATCAACAGCATTACATGGCCACAAGGAGTTCCATGAGAGGACACTTAAAATGAACAGATAACAAACACATCGCAGTACCAACAGGGCCAGTACCAATCAGACTCAACCAAAATGAGAAACATCATGCTGCGCGCAGGGAACGACAAATCGCAGCATCCGGGAGCAAACGCACCGCAGCATCCACAGATTTGGGTCAGGTTACAATATCAACAGAAAACGGACACATTGCAGTACCAACAGGGAATGTACACACAGCGGGCATCGGGATGTGACTGGAATTCGTGAAACGGGTGCGATTCGTTTCATCTGACGTTCGCGTTCGTCGTCAAACAGCAAGCACTGGACTGACTACCGGGGTTTCAAACAGGCAGATGAGCCGCCAAGGCCATGTAAACGACAGCGCGTCCCTCCAAAAGGGCGGAAGGCGAGGTAGGATCAGCTGCGTGTCGGAGGATCGCTGCTCCTGATAGCACAGCCAGCCGGTGGGTCCACTCACCAGTCGTCCGGGTCGCAGTCCCGGAAGCCCTTGGCGAACGGGTTGCTGGCGATCTTCAGCTGCGTGACCTGGGGAGCATTTCCGGCGGTCAGCCAGAGAGGGCGCCCGGCCTCTGACTCAGCCCGCCCCCTCCCCCATCCGGCCGCCTGACCGGGCTCACACCCTCGGGCGTAATTATTTACCGGCGCCCGGCTTTCATCGGTCGGCCGCTGATACCATCTGCGATTCTTACATCCTCATTTATTAAGGCGAGCGCCGCTTCCGTGGCGGCCGGCTGGCGCCGACCGGTGACGTCACCGATCGGTGACGTCACACGCGGGGCGGGGATGGCGGCGCCGTCGTCGGCGGGGACACGGCGCCGGCGACGGTTCCGCGGGGGCGGCTGCGCCGGGGCGGGTCCTGTGACGGATGGTCGGCCCGCCGGTAAGGCGCGTCGACCCCCTTTAACGGCCAAGATGGATGGCCTGTGACGTCACGGCCACGCCACTGTTTTCGCCTCCGGGCGCGGCGGTGGGTCCAGCCGGAACGGAACGGAACGGCGGACCGGTCCAGCGGACTGGTCCGGTGGCTGGGCGCGGCGTGCGTGAGGGATAGGCGGAACGAAGCAGAACGGTGATGCGGTCTGGTCGGGGCGGAACGGCAGAACAGTCCGAAGAGCCGCCGAACGGGAGACGAGGAACGGCCGGAGCGGGACGAAAAAGTGACGAGTTCCAGTCGGGTAGGGACAGCAGCCTGCTTGGCTGGAACGACAGAGTACCACGGCCTTTGCAAGTCGAAGTACATATACATATCGTATACATATCGTACGTATTGTGCTGCTGGAAAAGTCAAAAGCGCCTGAGGCGAGCGAAACAGGTGAGTTCAAGAAATGCAGCGTTGGCACGTGAAATGCAGGGTGTCGAAGACTGCATGCGTGAGCGGAGCTTTTGTTGCAAGGTGTTCATTTATGAGCAGAGATGAATAAAGGTGATCAATTTGGTCATACTTTTACATTTATAACCTTGACATTAAAAAATGCAGGAATCTCTTCTGAGACCTCTGATCTCGGTAGCAACATATCACGCTTTGATTCTGCTACATACCCTTTGATTCTGATACGCTGTGACGGCCATGAACTTGGTTTCTGAGAAGACGAATGTCTTGAAGTTCTGGTAGTTCCCTTGCTCTTCTCCTTTGGGGTTGTAGATGACATGAAACCGGGGCTGGTATCGATGCATTGAGTTCAGGATAATCTGAAACACCGCAGACTTGTCACTGTCTGCCTGGCTCTCCGGCAACACACTGGGAAGTGTTCGATCAGGCCACGGCCGCGTGCACGCCTGACGTTGAAAGCGGTTGATGTCTGATGATTGACCGCTGAATCTGGGCGGAAAACCAAACAAACAAACCGGCAAATGACCGAACAATCGCTTCAGCAGACTCCGCGAAAGCCGCAGTGCTGCACGCATCATCGGAGCTACCATGCTGACGGTTCGCTGCAAATGGCTTCCGCGCGCCATTGGCTCTGGCGTGAGGCCGTCAACACAGCGGCAGACACAGGCCTGTGTCGCCGTGACGGTGCTCAGCCCGGCGCTGCCGAGGGGGGACGCCGGCGCTGCCGAGGGGGGACGCCGGCGGCGCTGCGAGGGGGGACGCCGGCGCCGGCCGAGGGGGACGCCGGCGGGCCGAGGGGGGACGCCGGCGCCGGCCGAGGGGGACGCCGGCGGTGCCGAGGGGGGACGCCGGCGCTGCCGAGGGGGGACGCCGGCGCTGCGAGGGGGGACGCCGGCGCTGCCGAGGGGGGACGCCGGCGCTGCCGAGGGGGGACGCCGGCGCCGGCCGAGGGGGGACGCCGGCGCCGGCCGAGGGGGACGCCGGCGCTGCCGAGGGGGGACGCCGGCGCTGCCGAGGGGACGCCGGCGCTGCCGAGGGGGGACGCCGGCGCTGCCGAGGGGGACACCGGCGCTGCCGGGGGGACGCCGGCGCTGCCGAGGGGGGACGCCGGCGGCCGAGGGGGGACGCCGGCGGCCGAGGGGGACGCCGGCGCTGCCGAGGGGGATGCCGCGCCGGCCGGGAGGGACGCCGGCGCTGCCGAGGGGGGACGCCGGCGCCGGCCGAGGAGGGACGCCGCGGCCGAGGGACGCCGGCGCTGCCGAGGAGGGACGCCGGCGCTGCCGAGGAGGGACGCCGGCGGTGCCTGAGGGAGGAACGCCGGCGCTGCCGAGGGGGGACGCCGGCGCCGGCCGAGGAGGGACGCCGGCGCTGCCGAGGGGGGACGCCGGCGCCGGCCGAGGAGGGGACGCCGGCGCTGCCGAGGAGGGACGCCGGCGCTGCCGAGGGGGACGCCGGCGCTGCCGAGGAGGGACGCCGGCGGCGCTGAGGAGGAAACGCCGGCGCTGCCGAGGGGGGACGCCGGCGCCGGCCGAGGAGGGACGCCGGCGCTGCCGAGGGGGGACGCCGGCGCCGGCCGAGGGAGGGCACCGACGCCGACCGAGGAGGACACCGACGCCGGCGCCGGCCGAGGAGGGACACCGGCGCCGACCGGGACGACCGCCGCCCACTCACGTATCCGTTGTCGTCGTACGGGTTGTTGGTCAGCTTGAGCTTGTCGAACGAGATGACCTGCTTCATCCAGTGCGACCCAAGCGCAGGACTGTCAGGGTGCATGTGGATGCGGGGTGGCGCGTGCGCATCCGCCTTGCCCGCTATCACCCAGCTGGAGCTGCGGGAGGGCGGTGGCAGCGCGCGCGTGAGCTCGCAGACACACTGACGCCTCGTGCAGGCCTCTCCACCCATCCATCATCTTGAAGACGTGTACACGTCGCGCAAGTGTGTGGTATTCGGTGGTTCTGATAAGTGATGCGTAAAGCATGTCATAACAGTTCCGAAGAGCCGCAGAAGTGAAAGAGAACACGCGCTGTTCTTGCAAGTACCGCAGTGATAGCAGATATCCAAACATACCTGTGGAAGGCGTAGCGGTACCTCTTGTCATCGACGGGCACAAAATCCATCTGGAGCATATACTCTTCTAACTGGTGCATGCCGTATAACCGTATTTGAAAGACTGGAAACATTCGCCTGCAAGTCAGAAAGTCGCAGTCAAACCATATTTTCCCGAAACTAGTAAACAAAGACAGCAAAGCGCAGATCTTGTAGTGAGCAATTATTAGAGGTTTTCCGCAATAACATCCTTGATTTTATGGCCCATGTCCAGCAAGTGAATGATGGAGCCGTCTAGGAAAACACCATCGATTATCCCAGCTAGATGATGCCTCTTAATGGCTCCACGTTCCATATCGGTGCGGGCACGTTAGGGCTACCCGAGTCCTTGGCCTCATTGTTTTGCCGACATCAGCATTTCATTTTTTATCTTCATTGATGTTTACCAGACACAATGACGTGTGCCGAGTGGCCGCACCGCTGGCTGCAGCGGCGCAGCAGCGCGCCGGCGCCCATCCCTGTGCACAGCGCGGCCCCCAGCCATCAGCGCCCTCTCGCGCGCCCCACCTGCCGGCCTTGGTGACGATCATCTCGGTGGTGAGCTCGTTGAACTGCTGCCACTGCTCCTTCATCTCGAGCACGGTCGAGACGGAGGCCAGCTTGGGGTGCAGGGGCCGCTGCTCGGCACCCTCCGCCGTCCGCTCGTCGTTGCGGTCGGAGGCCTGCGGCGTGTTGCCGTTCACGTCGCCGGCTAGCTTGTCTCGCTCGGGTCGGCTGAACGCGCACTGGTACAGCTGGCGGTACGGGTCTGCGCAGTCCAGCCGCGTCCGCTCGCCGCCCAGGAAACACGCTGGCGGAGACAGGGAGCGCCGTCAGCGGAGCGCGCTGACGGAGACAGGGAGCGCCGTCAGCGGAGCGTGCTGACGGAGACAGGGAGCGCCGTCAGCGGAGCGCGCTGACGGAGATAGGGAGCGCCGTCAGCGGAACGCGCTGACGGAGACAGGGAGCGCCGTCAGCGGAACGCGCTGACGGAGACAGGGAGCGCCGTCAGCGGAGCGCGCCGACGGAGATAGGGAGCGCCGTCAGCGGAACGCGCTGACGGAGACAGGGAGCGCCGTCAGCGGAGCGCACTGACGGAGATAGGGAGTACCGTCAGCAGAGCGCGCTGTCGGAGGCAGGGAGCGCCGTCAGCGGAGCGCGCTGACGGAGACAGGAAGCGCCGTCAGCGGAGCGCGCTGACGGGGATAGGGAGTACCGTCAGCAGGGCGCGTGTTGGAGACCGGGCTCGCTTGTCGGAGACCGGGCTGGCGTGCGGGGACGTGTAAGTGGCCGAGTGGTGTTGGACGTTGCTGCCGGGGTCGTTGGTTCTGGTATTCAGCTGGCGTCGCGGTAGACTTCCCTCAAGCGGCGATGTTGACGGCAATGGCGCGAGAGTTTGCATGCGCTAATAGCTAACTGAACTGGGTATACTGTTATTGATGCACGATGTCGGAGACCTATCAGATCTCGAGCGATGGGAAATGTTTAAGACGCAATGCTGGATGATTCTGCTGACTGCTCGTAGAAATGACATAATATCATCGTGACGTCACCAAATGACTGACCAATGTCGTTGGCTGATTACTGTATCAGGTGCATTATGCACTATACATTTTTTATCAGCATGGTATCAAACATCAAAACCGGGCTCACGTCTCTTCACCGGTAATAGGTGTTGTAATATTTGGGACACTTTTAACTGCTGGGCTCCCTGTGACCACCGAGTCTTTTGTCGACGTTTCCCCTCCTGTGCAAGATACAGCGCTCACTGCGCCACTGGTATGACGAAGTGAGCCCTGCTTCCTGGACGAGCACTATTTGCAGTCAGCCACCGCTATAGACCCTATCATTAACCGGAGCATAATATCGCACCTCTCATTCGGGGGTTCTCTGTCTTATGTGCCAAAATAGCGCATGTAAATTACCCGGGATGATAAATTAGCTGTGTTTGACGCGCGCGCGATCGACTGCGGTCGGCAGCGTCACGGTCGTCGCGCGCCGTGAGGAGTGTCGCGTGACCAAGACGTACCGCACACAAAGTAGTGCAAATCGCCTTCAATTACCCAGAACTAACATCACATTTCACGGCGCGCCTCGTTTATTCCTGCCAGTGCCTGGCGACGTAAACAGCCATTTGTCAGGAGGGCGCCGGCGGCTATGAGTCCATAAATCGGGGGCCGGTGCCCGGCCGGGCGGCGTCAGAGGGCGGCGACGGCGGCTGACCCGCGCCCCTACAGGTGTTCCGGCGCCGGCCGCCGCTGACGGACGCGTCACTAACGATGACGACGTCGGCAGCTGGGCGCAGCCGGGCCCGGGCGTCACCGGTCACCGGCGCCCGAGGCGCGCGCCTCCCCCTTCCCCTCAAAACATCGGCCCTGTCCTGTCACACACCGGCGGCGCCCCTAAATCTCCAGCCGTCCAATAAACGTCACCGGAGCGACGGAGCGCAAATAGAGCGGCGGAGCGAGGCGCTCCGCCGGCGCGCCACGCGCGCCGCCGCCGCGCCCTCTGGAGGACCGGCGCGGTGCTTTGGCATTCCACCTGTCCCCGGTTATTAATTAGCCCGAGCTGCTGTGATGCATGGCTGCAGTCGGATTGGCCCCATATATCATCGCCAATGAGTAATTTGAAGCCATAAGCATCTTCTGGCTAATCTGTGCCGAAATCGACGCCGACGGTGCGGTTTTCCGTCTTTCAGGTTTTCCAGGCGACGCACCTGATCAGATTTCGTCGAAAACGGATTGTATCAAACCTGTTGTGGCACGAAGCACAGAATCAAACTCGGTTTGTGTTCACAATTTGATGCTGCTGTGCCTCTGCTTTAGCCGATGAAAGCGTAATTGTTCCTTTGTTATGGTTGGCTGGTAAGAATTATTGTAGGCTAGGTGGCAGCTACCAACAGTCCCAACTAGAGGCCCTCAGTTTCGCGAGTTTGCCCACAATGGGTGCTTTGACTCCCCCGTACGTTCCTGCGCGGTTCTCCAATGCAGTTAAATGTAGGAGCAGTGTAGCATCAGGGCTGCTGAGGTTCTGATCTGCGATGCCCATGGTTGGAACGTATCAAAAGCATGTCGTGTGTGGCCCGCCTGAAGTGCGAGGTCTGCTTACACTGCCGAAGTGGCGCACTTTTCGTTAGTGTGCACCTCCTGTCTGGTGAAGGTGGGCGGAAAAGGACTACAGACTTCCCGAACGTGTGAGTAGTGTTTGCCCGCGGCCGCTGAAGACTCGTCTGCGTCAGTTTTACAGCCCCGGAGCAAGCTCTGTGTGGCATTACTGGCCAGCTATGGCTAGCTATAGCGCTGGCCCATCGGAAGTCCGGCGAGAGTGGCCAGTGACCTCGGTGGCCTGGTCACGAGTCACGGCAGCATCGGCAGGCAGTAACGGAGCCGCCGTGCTGGAGCTGGAGCGCAGCCCACAGCGGTCCAGCCAGACGGGACAACAGGCCGGCCGCGCTGCAGGGGTGCAGTCAGACGGCTGCAGATGACAACAGGCGCGGAGTGACGGCACGGTCCAGTCGAGGCCGAGGCCGGGCGTGGCACGCGGACCCTGCCCGGTTGCGTCAGATCGCCCAGGGCCGCTGTAAATTCATGTGCACCGTCTTCTCCCGCCATGTTGAGGCTGGGAAGTCTGGCCTTTCGTTTATCTAGGCGTGATGAACGTGATTTATGGGAAAGGAATCCTTGAACTCGGCTTCGACGTAACACCGGTGCGGCGATGACCTCATGGCATCTCGTGACCTCTCGCCGTCCTTCCACGACACACCGGAGCCTCCGAGTGAGCCGTGCAGTGCGGGGAACGGTAGCCATGAGCCACGACAGTACCAGCTAGTCTAGATGGACAGCTTGTCTATTTCTATGATTGTGTGTGAAAATGATAATGGTTTGATGGCGCTGAACAAAAGGGACGGAGGCAAATAATTTCCAGCGAATCTCATCCTAATTTCGTCCCGTTGGCTTAGGTCAAGCCACATTGAACTGATGCGCTTCATCGCCATGCATGCAATGACGTAATTTGATTATGCCTTCATCCGCGACCCCAACGCTCGCAGCCCTCCTGCGTTCAATACCTAAGCCAACATTGACACACCGCTTGTTAAAACAACTGCTCCGTCGGCCACTCTCTGCCGCGTCCGGGCCTCCGACCGGCGCCACCTCGTGCCGCGCGTGCCGGCACGCCGAGCCGACGCACGAGCGCGGGGCGGCGCACGTAAGGCGATGGCTGCCGCCGCGCTGGTCGGTCGACGACGCGCCGCCGCCTGGGTGGTCCGTCCGGCCGGCTGAGGCGCCGGCGCGCGCTGCCGTCGACCGAGCCTGGCCCGCGAGGCTGCGTCGTTGCCGTCGGCCGCCGCCGGCGGCGTTTAATCACCTCGCGAGTCGCGGCCTGTTTTGCCGCTTGTCATGCCGCACGCCTCGTCACTTATAATCCGCCGTGAATCACACCGGCAACCGCCATCAACATTCCGTCGCATCGGAAACGGCGCGCGACGAGCGCGTCGAGATCGGCCCGCGATTACCCGCCGGAGACAGGACCGGAGCGACGGACGGGCGGCGCAGGGCGGGAGAGTCAGGACCGGAGCGATGGCAGAACGCACCGGACGGGCGGCGCGGGGCGGAGAGAGACAGGACCGAAGAGGACGGGATTGCAGAGGACAGGGGGGAGGGGGAGCGGAGAGGACATGAAAGGTCAGAAAGATAAGTTAGCAATGGTAGAAAGCGAGGTCACTGTCCTCCGATGAAACCTTGCGAAGACTGCGAAGAGCGATTGAGTATACTGAAGTCAGGGAGAAGGCGGAGGAAACGAGAGCTATGCTTTTTATTGAGCCATATGAAAAGGTCAGGTATCTTGGGATACACGAATCGATGCGGACATGAAATAACTGTAGACACATCCGGACAAAGAAGTTTGTGGAGAACAGGACAAGGTAACACGTATGTGTATCACACACCTGATTTATGTGGAAGAACATATGCAGTCGAGTGTGGTATCGCGGTTCGTACAAAGCCCATGCCCCATGAAAACTATTCCAGTGCTTTGCTGTAGCACGAGGAGAGCTGTTCGTTATAATTACGAATATTTTGTCTGTTTTCGTTCCCATAGTTTGTCGATATATCTTTGGGCACCACCGTTATTCGTCCCATTATAAATATGCGTAGCAACCGAACTAAATTATAATATAGCAACCGAACTCCAGCTTGGCCATCGTCTTCATTCCAAGTGGCGATGCTTCTTACGCATGCTTCTCTTTACATCGTCTATTTTCAAGCTCCTTTTTGGACCGTCTGTGTGCACATGTCATGCACAAGAATTGCCGAACAAGCAAGACAGTTGAAGAACAGGTGGCAAGAGAGGCGTCCCATTCCCGTATGACCACGCCGTCCGCACCGCCTCAGTACCCGGGAACGCTGCCACGTGAGCAGGCCACTGTCGGGAGGCGCTGCTTGGTCAGGCCACCGGTGACGTCACATGGACTACATGGTCTTTCTGCGCGCCCAAGATGTACATCTTTGACGCCGAACCACGGCGACAGCGTTGCCATACTGTGTGTTGACGTCGGTATATTTTGTCTGACGCCCCTTCGTCAGCTCCGAGCTTTTAGTATCGATGCAGATTCCGAACATCTACATGTAACGATTGGTCATCCTATTCCGCAATGTGTGACGACAAGTTTTCCATAACGCCTCACAGACACCAGTTTCGAAACGCCGGAAGCACGGGGCTTGCAGCGTGCGGCGCCGCCTCCATGACTGTCGCGCCGCGGCGAGTGTCACCACGTGTGCTCGCCTCGCAGGCGCCAATCAGCGGGGGAATTTG